AATAAAATCTCTGACGATAGCTAAGATGAAGTAGCAGTCAAGGGGTGGGGAGGAAAGTTCCCAGATGCAGGTAAATTTCTGCAATTAATCTTGTTCTCACAGGGGAGATCACAAAAGTGGCAAAATATTTAGCAAGCTAATTTACTGGAGAATATTTTGGTCCTATATAATTAAATCCAAGGCTAAAGGGAAGCTGGCAGCTATTAAACGAAGGGCAGTTGGGAATGCGGAAAAGATAAAACCCAGTCTATAAAATATACTCCACTATCTTTTATAGGCTAAGAACACAAAAGAAGCACTGGGTAGGAATTTTCTAAGATGGAAAGATGTTAAGATTGTGTGTGGATTTTTTTTACAGGTGCAGAATAAATTAGTTTTTTTCTATGTTTTTTTTCTTTTGCCCATTTTCCTGTTGTTTGCAAAGTTGAATCTGGGGTCAGGAGTTCTAATTGTAACCTCAGACTGGAATTCCAGATGGAGTGCGCAGGACTGGAAGCAAACTCTCAGTTCATCAATTTCATGGGCCTCCGTCTTTGCTCGGGCCACGGCCTGGCCTCCGTCCCCGCTGTGGCATTAATGCAGAACAAATTGAGACATATCCTCTGTATAATTAGTTCCAGAATTTAAGAAGATTTACGGTACAATAATAGAGGCAGCGCTGCAGAATCCCTTCAGCCGGGATGCTGGGCGCTCCCTGGCTCTTGGCTCTGACCGCTGGGCTCTCAGTGACTTGGGATACAGCAGCCTTTCCAGGCAGGGGAGAGTGGTCTGTTGCACAGCTCTGCTAGGGCCCAGGAGAGGGCCCTGGGTGGGAGACTGGTCAAAAAGAGGGAGAAGACGCACAGACCAAGAAGGGAGGCTGCGGAGGGGGCCGCCTTGTTTATTTTAAAAACTGATTTTAAGACTCCTGATGCAGAGCTGCAACCTGTACATGATGGGCGATTCCTGTGCCAGGAATCCTGGGCCAGGGTCCCTCACCCTGTCCCCCAGCAGGCGCAGCCAGCCTGGCCTTGGGTCGCAATGGGGAGTTCAATGGGGAGTGCGGATGAGCAGCAGGAAGACCCCTGCGGCTGGATGCAGGGGACTGTGGGGTAAAAGTGGGGTGAGGTCCTCTCCTCCCCTCAGCCTAATGCAAAAATGAAGTGTCCTCTGGGCCCGACACTCTCATTTACCAGAGGGAAACCTCTTGGGTGTCCCTGCTTCCTGTCCCCTCTCTGTCCCTTGAGCTCTGGAGAGGCCGGTGTGACGGCTAAAGCCACTGCTGGATCAGGTGGGCTCACAGCTTTGCTATGATGACTTTGCTATCTTAACCTGCACATGCACAAGCTACTGACAATCATCGTGGCTTGTGGAGAGTTCTAGGCCAACACCTGCTCCCCAGTCTGCAGGGCAGCACCATGAGGTGGGTGCTGCTGCTGCATTTCCAGCTTTACAGAGAGGAAACCAAGGCCCAGGAAGGATGCCCTGCTGGCGGAGAGGGCTGCAAAGCTTCTGGTGGCCGCTGAGCTGAGTTGTCCTGGCCACCAGTCCCTGCTCCTTTCCCTGTTTGGTCTGGGTCTCCTCAGAGCAAGGAGCTGCATCTGTAGCCCTGCAAGGTGGCTCCGAGGGCTGAACAGGGTGGGTGGTGAGCCAAGAGGGCACAGCAGCGCACAGCCTCTGAGGCAGGAAGAGTGGGAGATCATGGAAGTTCCCCCACTTCTTTGGGGCCACCGCCCACCAGCCAGGGTGCCTAGGCCCAGTGGAGGGGGTGTCCTGGGGATCAGGGAGGGAAATAGAGGCTTGGTCCCTTGACCAGGGCCCAGACGGGAATTTAGGAACCCAGGGAGAAGGTGGCACTCACTTCCCTGCCTGGGCGGCTGTGGTGGAGCAGGAGTGGAGGTGTTTCGGGGTAAAGCTGGACCTGCGCTCCTACACTTCCTCTGCTCTCTGGGGACCCCCAAGAAAACAAAGGACTGCAGCTCAGGGTCCTCAGTTGCCTCTCGCTCCCCTCCCGGCCACTTATTACTCGCTCTGGCCCTCACCCCAGTAAAACCTTATTTTTTTGAAATGTAGGGGTAGAGACTAAGGGGATCTTACCCCTGCCTGGGGTTGGAGCCAGCCTCTCTCCTGATCTCTCCCCCTCCCCGAAAAAGCTTGCAAAGCAGAGAAAAAGACGAAACCTCTCCTCTCCTTTGCGACTCTGCTTTGCCATATGGGGCTCCTCTCTGCTCACAGTGCTGGAGCCCTAGTTAAGAAAAAAACGAGTTTTAAGTTGATATCTGAAGTGGGAGGGAGGAACAGGGATTCAGGGCGTCTGGGGGGCAACCTGGCCTGAGCAGGGTCCCCTCAAGGGCTTGTGTGTCCACCCAGGCTCTGCGCCCTGCCCAGGGTCAGGACCCGGCAGGGGCGAGGGGCCGGTGGCTCCAGGCAACAGCATGCTTTTCTTTTCAAAGTGCGTGTTTGCAGTTCGTTAAGTTACAGAGATTTCCGCTGCTTCTTAAGGGTAAAAAGGTTCGAAGCAGAAAGGATGGACCCAGCGCGTCCCTCCTTCCACCTTCCCCGCGCAGCTCCCTCCCTTGCCAGCCTTGGCCAGAGGGTCTTCTGCCTCCCGTTGTTTCCCCTAAGCCGTGGGGGGCTTCACCCCGTGCCTGAGTCCCCGGAGCCGAGCGCCTCCCATCCACAGCCGAAATCTGACGCTACAGAGAAGGCATTACGCGACTGAAAACCAAAGCGGTAAATCGAGGCACGGAGACTCTGTTTCCTGGGTTAGGCGCTGTAGGCTTGGACAGCGACTCGCGCTTCCCGCCCGCGCCTGGCCGTCCCAGGCTGCGCCGTCGCCGACGCCTC